CAAGAAATGGGTAAAATGTTTGCCAAAAAAAAAGTACAGAGGGCCCAGATGATGTATTAGCTGAGGCACGATCTATATCATTCTTGGCCTTGCACCTGCAAATCCTGGGTGCCCATTCTCAGGACCAAAGGTAGAGTTTACCCATGTTTGGGAATGCAGAGTGATTTAAAAACCAGGGTGCATTCAGAATCATCTGGGGCACCTGTTAAAAATACAGCTTCTCTAATGCTACTCCTGGAGATTCTGACTCATATCTAGGGTGTGGCTGGGAATTTTTAATTAGCACTCCAGTAATTCGGAAGCAGCTAGTAGGATGGCATTTGGAAACCAAGCAAATCATCAGAATTATCCAATATACTTTTTGAAAACACAGATTCTTGAGCTCCTGTCCAAACCTAGTGAACCTCACTATGTTCACATCACAAAATTAAATGCATATTTGAGTCCTTTTCCAATCAACTTTCCAGAGTGCATGTAAAAAAGAATTTCAGTACAACACCCATAGGATTGAATCCAAGTAACCTGGAAGTCCAGAGGCAGTGACCTTGGGCAGACCCCGAATCAATGGCTATTCATTGAAAGACAACTGACTACTCTTTAAACTGCTGTTGGAAGGAAATCCAAGTTTAAAAAAAATATTCTTCCTGGTTCTTGTTCCTCTAAAGGACTTTCCCATGTCAAAGTCCATTTTTAAGCAGCTTCTAACAAACAGTAACAATATGATATCATCATCATTTTACTATAAATTTTTAGATAAATTACCTGTTGAGATCACTGTTTGAAATAAAATATACATTCATTCATGTTATAAGTATTAGCCCTAACATTGTTATTGCATTGCACTTTGCCTTTCAAAGCTCTGAGACATGTTAAAAACCAGTGTTACAATCATGTGAGAACTGAAGCCAGAAAGACCTGGTTCAAATCCTGCCTCTGAAACCTAGGCTAATTGTTCAACATTACAGGTAAGAGTTTCTGAATTCTTGTCTAAATGGTGATAATACCACCTATCTTGCAGGGTTGTCATAAGAATAAGAATTGTAAGTAATACTCATATAGTCCTGATTCAGAGCCAGCATTCAACAAACACTAATTACTCTTATTATCCAAATTTCCATCCCAACCCCCTCCCAACAAAGGCGAAATTAATCCTCTAAAAGTGCTCAAGATATTGGAGTATGTGTTGAAAACCCGAGTAATCCAGCCATCATGAGATCTGTAAAAAAAAAAAAAAAAAAAAAAAAAAATTCTACTTATGGAAAGCTTGCATGTCATAATAATGTGAAGAGCCTTCCATCACGAAGTGCCCAGATACTCAATAAATAACAAAAAATATACTTTTAAGTGTACTGCCGAGATCATGAGAAGATAAAGAAGGTTCCCAAGGATAAGAGAAAGAAGACTATAAATCTAAACTCTACTGGGAACTAATTTGTAAGCCCACACAGCCCTGGGGGCAATGCCGGTCCCTACCAGGGACCAGAGGGTCTAGAAAGGGAAAGGGAGACTTGACCTGAAGCTTTTGAAATGGGAAAGGACTGAACCTGAGACAAGACCTCAATGTTCCACTCTGAAGGAGCTATACCTTTGATAAAAGAGTGACCCAGGAAAAAAATATGCCTTCCATAAAAGCAAACGGATGAGTAAATCTGCAGACCTATGCCGAGCCTAAATTAATTAATGAAGGTAATGACACTGGTCTTCTCTGAGCAAGCCTGAACTCAAACTTACAACATCTTCAAGTCAGGAAAATGCCTGGCTATTAAAAGAGTCTTTGGAGGTAGAAGCAAATAAGTAGTGTATACAAAAAGGCATCTTCAGTACACAATCCTTCAGCATTCCCATAAAATTAGGGAGTAATTAAGAAAACACACTACCTTGAATAACAGCAGGAAAAAAAGTATTCAATACATTTTCCTCTACCCCCAAGAGCTTCAAGACATTCATACTATAGAAAAGGAAAAGAAGAAGGCACAGAAAAAGTTAAACTAAAAAAAAGCACAAAATAAGAAAATTTCAATCCTATTTTATATATAATATCCTTTTGAATTCCTTTATGTGATGTGGGGCCGAAAGCACTGCCTCTGATGTCAGGTACACTTGAACTTGAATCCTGGATAATCAAATACCAGTATATGATTCCAAGCAAGTTAGTAAAACTTTCTGTGCCTCAATTTCATCAACTGCAAAACTAGCATAGTCCTATACTACCTACCTATTAAGATTGTTGTGACATAAATTCATACACCTATGCATTCATGTGTGTATCACATAACAGAGTTCTTAGTATACAAAATGCACTTAGTAAATAGTAGCTATTGTGGACATTTACAGAATGTCTTTTATGTGCCAGTGGTAGTGCCAGACCCCTTGGGACACAGAGATGGATAATGATTCCTTGTTAGTATACTCTCCGGCAAGCTTGTTTGGTACTAAACATTTATCTACATAATTGTACTTACTCCTCCCAACAGTCTTGTAAAATACTGTTATTTCCATTGTCCAAATGAGGAAACTAAGAAGTTAGTTAAGAGTCTTGGTCCAGTTCCCACAACTAGTAATGAAAATAGGACTAGAACTTTTATGTTATTTGACGCCAAAGCCTGTCTTAATTACCTCACCTCCCTCTTTCCCGTAGATGAGAAGATTCACATTCAACTACATATGGCAGATGCAGTTGGTAGACTTCTTTTGACCAAAAAACAGAGAACTCTAAAAATAGTAGGTTTCACAATCATAGAATATAACACAACACCATTAAACTGAATTCTCCGCTAAGTTCTTGACCTCCCGGTTTTTCTTCCTTCTTTAAGAGGGAACGTAACAATTCGATGAGTATGCAATGGGTCTATCAGTGATGTCCCACCTGCAGCCCGCATGCAGCCCAGGATGGCTGTGAATGCGGCCCAACACAAATTCTTTAATTTACTTAAAACCTTATGAGATTTTCTTGTGATTATGTGTCGCAATGTATTTAATGTGTGGCCCAAAACAACTCCTCTTCTTCCAGTGTGGCTCAGAGACACCAAAAAGGTTGGACACCCCTGGATGTTGTGATTTTCATATGTAAATACTTTTCTAGGTATTATAAATTGACACGTCTTAGGAATTTGAACCTCGTTTACTTTTTGACGTGGAGAGGATTCTCTTTATATAATGAGAGATAGTTGGGTGAGACTTACTAGATGGCAGATTTGATTCAAAGAAGGAAGCACTTTCTCAAGTGTTCTTACCCCCACCAAACTGAATAGAGGTGTGGTCATTCAATAGTGTAAGACTACCTGTCAAAACACCAGATCATGCTCCTACAGATACCACAGATTATACAATATTATGGTAAAAAGAAACAACTGCACCCCGGAAGTCGCAGTATTATTTTTCAACCCTGAAAATATAGCAACAAAAACTTAAGAGTTTTTGTAAACAATAGTGAGACAATGTAACAGACCAAGAAAAGTTATTGCTAGGTTCTCCATTTCACTTTCTTTTAAAAAGGTGTTTTGGATGTTTTCTGAATAAAAATAGAGTACACTCTCTTTTATAAGCACACCTGCCTTGTAGAAAGGATTTATAGACTGCCACAACTCTACTCACTTCATCTTCGAGGAGGGCACTTTTATCTTCTGCTAACAAAACTAAGCAGGTGATTTTAAGTAAAAGTATGTAAAAAACTTGGATTCCATTTCCCTTCAAGTTGATTAAGACATTGGGTAGCTCAACTGAAAAATTTATTCAGAAATAACTTCAACACAAAGCAATGCATTTTCCCTTTCAAAGAAAAAAAATCTTTTACTTTAGAATGAATCACCTAAATCTGGAAGAGATTTCACAGTGTCTTTCATTTTTCAGATAGGGAAATTGAGACCTGAATCACTGTAATTCCATTATTTGTTTACATTTTTTCTCATATCACTATTTCTGTGCTTATCTATTGTGGCTCTAAATTCATCATAATTGTAAGTCATCATCATATTTTTCTGCCCTATGACTATTACAGCTTCAGGACAAGGACTAGACAGAAAAATTCAAAACCTCCAACACTAATCACTTTCAAACCATCAAAACAGCTTTACTAAACAGAACAAAATGAGTGAAAGTGAATTAAAGTATTTTTTTTATTCCTGCTGCTTAAATAAGGGTTGACCTCATAACTGGTCTATATACAAGACATCTCTGGTTAAGGCATGATAGGAGCACAAAAAGGGGGCAAGGGGAGTGTAAAGAAAAGTTTTACAAATCGAGAAAGGTATCTCTAGTCTGTTCCACATAGTTTCAAATTCGCCTTTGGAGAAAGGAATGCCTTTGAAGAGCTAAGGAGATGTGGGCTTGAATAGGTCATCTTGAGGCTTCTTCCAATACTAAGATTTGATGAAAATTCAGAACTCAAAATACCGCATTACTAACATCCAAATTTGTCAATACCAAAACACCAATAAGAATTACATTTCTTGATATCAGGAAAGTTTTTCCTTATAAGTGACTTGCAGCTTCTCACAGTCAGGGTGGGAATCAAGGGATTTTTTTTATTTTTATTTTTATTTTTTTTTCCAAAAGGGAAAACCGGATCACTCAGGCTGGCTGGTCCTAGGTCACTCAGGAGCTGGGCTGGGACCAGGGTGAACACCAGCCTCCCCCGCTCACTAGTCCTTCACGAGGAGTTGCCGAAAGCAAGAATTTAGCGAAGAAACTTAAACTTCAGTATTTAGAAAACAGGCATTATAACCAAACTTTATTTTAAGAGTGATGCCTTTACTTCCGGAATTCTCTAATAACTAACCTGCAGGGCAAGCTCAGCCTTAGGCGTGTTCCTGCCCAAGCAAGGTCCTTTGGGGGAAGGGACAAAATTGGTAAGGGGGTAGGTGGCCAGGCGCAGTCCTCTGGGAAAACCTCCCCGGCTGGTTCCCTTTGCAGCCCGGAGACTGGACGCACCTGCAGAGCACTGCGCGCGCCCCTCACCTGAGCCAGTTCTCCGCTCACCCCTTCTCTAGCGAAGCACTTACCTGGGGCGTCCGCGGATGACTGGACCCTGAAGGTGCCCGTTCCGGCCCGTCCCAGGTGCAGGTGCGACGAGGGCCTACTCCAGGGCCTGGGGGTCCCAGTCAGCATGTAGGAGGGGTTGGACTTCCGCCGGATCGCCACCCGCCTGAAGTCGTAGCTGCCTTTGCTGCTCACGGTGCCGGGTTCGCTCGCGGCTCCGCGCTCTCTCCCGCCCTGGGCCGGACGCGAGTGAGCGCTCGGCGGGGTCCTTAGGGGCAACCCGACCCGCGGGGTTGTCGCCTGCATGCCCACGCTGGGCGCGACTCGAGACGGGTGACTCCGGCGGCTCCTTGGCAAGGGCTTCCTCGTCCCTTCCGTCCCCGGCCGTGCGCTTTGCCACCCGGTGTCCGCGGCTCCCAAACTCACCTGACGCAGCTTCTGCAGCAACCGGCCCGGGACTGCCTCCGCACTCTCCTTTCTCGAGCCGCACGGCCCCGGGGGCGGGCCTGGGAGAGAGCAGGACGCCGACTGTTAGCGCCGCCACAGTGGCCGCCGCCTACTCCCCGGGCGGGGAAGGTTGCCAAGGACTGGCTGTGCCTAGTGGAGCGCCGGGGCGCGGCCCCGGAGCCGGTTCGCCGCCCGCGGCTCCGCCCCGCCCCGCCCACCGCCCAGCCCTCGCCCATGGGCCGGGAGGACCGGCGCGGCGCTCACCTGCAGCCGCACACCTGGGGTGCTAGGAACGTCAGCCGCACTCAGCTGCGGGCCACAGAGTTTGAGGGTAGGTAGTGAGATAATTACAGCTTCGTTTACTCTGCCCGATGACTTGCTTATCCTCACAGACCCACAGGACAAAGGTCCTACGTGGATCTCAAGCTGCTGTACTGAGCCCTTGATAAGAATCTTACTTATGTCGTAGAGCTAAGCAATGAGTAATATTTCAGATAAGGAAACCAAAAAGCAGAAGCAACAATAGGTCACATAGCCCTGCTGAGCTAGAATACTTACCCAGTCTCTGCGCCAAGGTCAGTCCTTGTGTCACCGAATCAAATCACCTCGCCAAGAGCATCTGGTCAGGGAACGCTGAAGATGTGAGTGTGTGGAAGTGAAAGGGAAGCGGTGCAGTTAACAACTCGCAGGTTCCAGAAAAGTATCAAACCCTCCATCACCATGAACTTGCAGGACTATATTAGTAATGCCCTTTAGAGTCCTTTCCCCCCTCCCCTCCATTCCTCGCCTGAGGGCATACCCATTGATTTTAGAGAGAGAGGAAGAGAGAGGCATTGATAGGTCGCCTCCCGTATGCACCCTGACGGAAATCGAACCCACAACCTAGGTATGTGCCCTGACAGGAATCAAAGCTCCAGCGCTTTCAAGTACCAGTCGACGCTCCAACCGAGCCACCCGGCCAAGGCTTGAGTTCTAATGTGTCAAGTAATTTTCTTTAATATCAGCTAAATACCAGCTGGAAGAAAATACATTTTAAATTGTTTTTGCTTATCTTCATTTTAAAATTCACTACTCTCTCTGATAACGGGGAGGCTGTATTCGTTCCAGAACTACAGAGCTAAGAGGGGACAGGGCAGCAGTCTGAACGAGTCCCTGAGCTCAAGCAGGAAGAGTTCCCCAGCCATCACTTCCACCTTGGAAGCCACCCCACATTTCATCAAATGGTCATTTACCCAGTAACATCTCCTTCAGCTCCCTCAAGTGTACAGGCCAAACCCAACCCTTCTCGAGAAACTTCTTAGAGAGCAGTTCAACGGTCTCAGTCTCCTTGGCTGCTACTCCAATAAATAAACCCCTGAGGAGATGGAACTCCCATCCTAATATTTAAAGAAGGTTCACACTAAGTTTAAAGGAGCTTTTGCTCCCTTCAGATTTATTATTCCTGTATCACTGCACTGCATCTAATTACATAGTTTCTCTTTTGTGTAATTGTGGTGTTATCTACTGTGCTATATAAATGGAAATGATTTAAACAAGTAGTTTCAAATATGACTTAATGCTGAAAGAGGCTTAATCTCATACACATAAGTATTACGATTTAAATACAAATTTTTAATACAATTTACTTGCTTCAATAAAAGGGTGGTGTTGCAATCAATAACACTGAACTAGCAACCTAGCTTACAGTAGCCTATTTTTCAGGGAGAAGATGCTGACAATCTTCTCTTTTGGAGAACTGGTTACTAATGAGACTTAAAGTAACCCTCCTCCCTACTTCCCAAATACTCTTTCAGTAGATGTTCAATTTCTGTAAAGAACTGCTGTAAACACAATTGTATAGGGCAAAGTGTATTTTACCACAAGTATTTGGGGCAGCAGTTTTGTATTCCCTCATCTGGGTATCTTAAGTTGTTTACATTATACACGTTTCTCTTTCTTTCTTGGTTCAAATTGTTTGCATTTGCTTAGTAATATATTAGTCCACATCAGTAGATGTCTGTATTTTCAGGTGGAATTTTTTATAACATGTACATCACCTGACATTACCTCTACTGCTGCTTATTACTTTCTCATAGAAACAATTTCTAAGGGACTTTGCATTCCATGACCGTTTGCAACACTAAATAAGTGGGTCAACAGAACTTTATTTGATCTCAAGGTTACCCTAGAGTAAAACAAAGTATTGAATATAATCTTGTACAAATAATCTTAAAATACTATTTTATCTATATAGCTAATAGGAAGTTTGTCAACAACTTGTTAATACATGTTAAATGGGAACTGTGCTGCAATACAGAGATGCATACAACACACAGGTATTTCTACTCCCTCTCTCTGTAGCCAAGACAATGCTGAGTGAGTGCTGACCAAATCCTGTATCATTTTCCTTGGGCACACAAGGAGATTGATTTAAACCTCCCTTGCGGCTAGGTGAGCAGAGGTGATATGTGTCATCTCCAGACCTGGATTCTGCACCCTGGCCATTAAACTGCCTACTACTTTTCTGCCAGTGTCAGCTGCAGTGCCCAGGGGCCTGGGGAGGAACCTGGAGCCCTGGGCAATGGGAGAGCCGCTACACACAGAGGAGCGGGCAGCCCAGATTCACCCCTTTCCTAGGAATTAACATAACAGGAAGACTGTGAACTGATTCATGTTCCTTAAATTTTATTTCAATATTTTCCAGTGTAGCAAAAATTATATGTATATTTCTTTTCATTCTAACCAAAATGTTTTAAACATTCTATTTAATTTTGTCAACATAACCTGTCTCAGATTGATCTAGCCCCTAATTATCAAAATAAAATAAAATAAATACTCACAATAAAAATAACGGATTAAGCCTTGGCCGGATAGCTCAGCTGGTTAGAGCATCACCCCCATACGCCAAGGGTGCAGGGTCAATGCCTGGTCAGGGCACACACAAGAACCAACCAATGACTGCATAGATACATGGAACAACAAATCAATATTTCTCTTTTTCTCTCTCCTTTCTTCTCTCTCTAAAAAAAAATCAATTTAAAAAATTTGAAAAATAGTGAATTAATAAGCTGCTTTGACTACCGGTAGGATATCACTTCCTAAACTAGAATTTAATAGAAATTAACACTTTACAGCAGATTCACTCTTATTTTAATCTCACTAGAGATAGATGAAACACTTCTTTCACTTAAATAATAAATTGTGTTATTTCCTCAGTAAATGAATTATAAATGTATTAGTTATTTACTTTGATGCTATCACTAGGTAGGAATTCATATAAATGTCATCGGGAAAAAAAGGTCACTAAAAGGCATGAATGATGCTAACTTTATATAGTAGCACTAGGGGGCCGACACACAGAAGATAATTTCATGAAGACCTAATTGAAGATGTTACAGTTATTTTTTTTAAAGATTTTATTTTTATTTATTTTTTAGAGAGAGGTGAAAGGAGAAAAACATTGATTGGTTATCTCTTGCACGCCCTCAACGAGGGATGTTAGCCCACAACCCAGGAATGTGCATTAACCAGGAATCAGACAGTGACCTTTTGATTTGCAGGCCAACACGCAATCCACTGAGCTACAACAGCTAGTGCAATGCAGTTATTTTAACAGTAACTTAGTAAACAGTATAATATTTTGAGTCGGTACAAACTGAGGTTTCAATAAAGTTTAATATGCAAGTAAAATCATATGTAAATTGTATAATTTCTTTTTAAAAATACTTTATTTATTTATTTTTAGAGAGGGAAAGGGAGGGAGAGAGGGAGAGAAACATCAATGTGTAGTTGCCTCTCGTGCACCCCCTACTGGGGACCTGGTCTGCAACCCAGGCATGTGCCCTAGACTAGGAATTGAACAGGCTATACTTTGGTTTGCCGGATGGCATTAATCCCCTGAGTCACACCAGCCAGGGCTAAACTGTATAATTTCTAACATGTAAATTTAATTTATATGTCTACAATTTGACTAGGTATTGCATATATAATGAACTTTGTAAGTATGGATAAGTATATGTGTGTGTTTGTATAAACACATGTACACACATATGTGTCGCAATGTTTTAGTTAAAACACACCTCTCAGAAGATTTGCACAAAAAGATGGTGTCACCTGAAACTGTCATGCCACAGGTTTGGCCTTGTACTTAAATTGACCACTTTTACTCTTTGAAGGGAAGTGGTCAGTCACTATATTTTTAAAATCATTTGGAAACTGGAAAGAAATCAGTTACTTTCTAAAGCACACAGTCCCTGGCATTATGGAGCCCGTGGTTCCAGAGTAGGAGAGGGGCACCCAGCTTGAACCTGGCCTGTCAGGAAAAGATTCCTAGAAGAAGTCAAAACTAAGAGAGGCTCAAAAGATGAATCGATGGCCTGGTAGAAGGGATAGAGTCACCCTAGTGGAAGACCAGGACACACAAGGGGGGAGGGGAGGCGGAAAGGGAGAGAGAGAGACAGAGAGATAGAGTTGGCGCGTACAGGGTGTAGAAATTGAGAAATGAAGCTGGAGATAAGGTAAAGTCAGATCATTAAAGATTATGTACAATGGGGTAAAGAGTTAGGACTTCACTCTGATGACAAGGAAATGTTTTTAAGCAGCAAGTGATGTTGTCAGGTTTGCATTTTAGCAATCACATTAGCTGTCCCCATCCCTTGTTCTTAGGCTATTAGATGAAAAACAAAACTGATTAACTCTGAAATGTTTCATCTCAAAGGATATGCTATTTTGATGACTGGTTGAACAAATAAATGAATGAAATATTCAAGAAATTTACTTAAATCAGGCACAAAAAGTAAGTTTTAGAAAACTCTACTCCCATGAAATAAATCTTCTCATCTTTCTGCTACCTACATCATGGTTTTGTTTTTTGGTTTTTTTTTTAGTTTAGTTTTTGCTATAGTGGTTTTTTTACACATCTCATACACAAATGCTACTCAACTATCTCACTGGTTTACTAGGACAATCAGAGAAGAGAATGCCAAAATGTAATGCTATAT